CATGGGAGTAATTGTGGGATGATACATTTTCAAAGTATCACGATATGTATCGGTTGAGTATCAGTATCGTTCAGTGGTATCGGTATCGTAAAAAAGTCAACGATATGCATCCCTAGATACATTCTGCTTCGTCCCAGGTGGAGTATGTGTTTACGGACAAGACAGGGACTCTAACAGAAAACAACATGGAGTTCATCGAGTGCTGTGTGGACGGTCACATTTACGTTGCTGATGCCATCTGTAACGGACAGGTAACACATGGACGTTTGTTTATCTCTTCCTGACCTGGGAAAACACGAGACATATATTAGATATTTAAATGTGTTTAATTTGTGTTGTTAGGTGATGCCTGGTGCTACTAGTATGGACATGATAGACTCATCACCAGGTCCCGGAGCCAGGGTGAGCATCGCTTCAGTTTGAGTGTATTTGTGTGTATATATATGTGTGTTTTTTTTGTGCATTACGTTAACACTGTGTTTATTAACAGGAGCACGAGGAGCTGTTTTTCCGGGCGCTGTGTCTGTGCCACACGGTGCAGGTGAAGGAGGAGGAGACGGTGGACGGGATCAAACACGGCATCCATCAGGGCAAGTCCACCTCCTTCTACATCTCCTCTTCTCCGGACGAGGTGGCGCTGGTGGAGGGCATGAAGAGGTGGAACACACACACACACAATTATTCACACACAAACAACGCCAGTCTTAATCAGAATATTTGAGCCATTTTTTCACACATTAGCATTAAGATGCATTCAATTTGTCCATGTTTTTTTCCACTCAATTTATTTTTTTCCCATCCATTTGTCCTTTTATTTCCCATAATGTTTTTTCGCTCTGTGCTGCAGGCTTGGTTTCACCTACCTGAGACTCAGAGACGGTCACATGGAGATCTTGAACAGGGAGGATGGGATTGAGAGGTGAGTGTGTCCCTTCAAAACAATGTAGTTGAATATGGTAACTATACATATATTCTATCAACATTTAGGTAAATATACACTCATCATTTTTTTTTTTTTTTCAGGTTTGAGCTGCTGGAGGTTTTGACATTCGACTCAGTCAGACGGAGGATGAGCGTCATTGTCAGATCCAGTACTGGTAATACACCTCAGACTTAAAATGCATCCATACATTAACATCTATATGTCTGTTATATTTTCTTACACTCTTCCCCCTCTTCTTTTTATCTGTGTGTGTGAGCAGGTGAGCTCTATTTGTTCTGTAAAGGTGCCGACTCGTCCATCTTCCCCAGGGTTGTCTCAGGCAAGGTGGAGGAGGTCAGAGCGCGAGTGGAGCACAACGCAGTGGTGAGAATCACACACACACACACACACACACACACACACACACACACACACACACACACACACACACACACACACACTACAGTATACTTTAGATTCAGCAGTAACAGAAAGTATTTTTCTCTCACGACGTTATTCCCATGATTCACCCTGTGAGGGTTTTTAGGGATGTGTCACTTCAGTCATTTTCTCTCACTTGTATAACACGACCACAGTGGTTTCCATTGATACCACATGAAGTCTATCAGTGGATCATGGCCAACTTCCATCCAGTAACAACAGTCATTCTGTATTTATGCATTCAAAACCCACTGTGGCTTTTATAGACCGAACATGCCAGCTGTTAGACTTTGCATTTGATCACCATGCATTTTATAATCTCATTACTTCACCCTAAAACACGAGACAATGAACAAAAAGCCATAAAGCCACAAGATCTGTGTTATTATAATATATTATTCTATGTTATATAATGCAACTAAATGAAGTGAATTGAGCCTGTAGTGTAAACCATGTAGGTCAGTGAGCCCTCTGTGGTTGTGGTTGCATCATAGATTAATGTAGCTTTTAATATATGGTGGGCGTTTTTTTGGTGAGGATCAAGTAGCAAGAGCAGTATCTGCCCACACACTCACATCCAGAGCAACTGAAGCACATGTCTCTATGGGATATGCAAGAATAAGCTCATTAGAACAACTGTATTTCTCTTTGTGTAACCCTGTCTAAATGTCACCTCTCCTGCAGGAGGGTCTGAGGACACTTTGTGTTGCGTATCGGCCTCTGAGTCCAGAGCAGTACGCGGAGGTTTACCACATGCTGAACGGGGCCAAGTTGGCTCTTCACGACCGAGACAAACGCCTGGCCGAGGCTTACGACGCAATCGAGAAAGACCTGATCCTGCTGGGAGCCACTGCTGTGGAGGACAGGTGAAGGATCTCTTTTAGAATTCACTGTTCATTATATATAAATGTTCGCTGTTATTAAAATCTTATTACACTTCTTGGATCTAAATGCCTGAAGCACTTACACTTTATTCTGTGAGTGTGACAAGTGCTGCTCCACTTCTGAGTGAGACTATCTGAGTTCACCCCTCCGATAGCACACTCGGTACTAAAGCAATTACAGTGAAGGCTTAAGAGGGATTGTTAACCCCGAGGGCATCGCAACTCGTCCTGCGTCCTGCGTCCTAACACAGTGTGCCTTTCCCTACTTCCCTTCACTAAAGGCTCCAGGAAAAGGCGGCGGACACCATTGAGTCTCTGCACAAGGCGGGCATGAAGGTGTGGGTGCTGACGGGCGATAAGATGGAGACGGCGGCTGCAACCTGCTACGCTAGCAAACTGTTTCACCGCAACACCCAGATCCTGGAGCTGACCACCAAACGCACCGAGGAGCAGAGTCTGCACGACGTGCTGTTCGACCTGAGCAGGACCGTCCTGAGGCAGCACGGGGGCATGGCCCGGGACTCCTTCTCTGGGTGGGTATCTGTGTGTGTGTGTAGTTGTTAGTATGTGTGTGTCCGCTTTGTAGCAAGCACAGGGATCTTCTTTTCCATATCAACACAGACTTAGAGAATGGATCTATTTCTCTGTATCTCAGGGCTTCCGTATTATCAAAAATGTGTGTGTTACTGTGTCCCCACTATGCACGTATTTGACCGGTGTTGCGTTTGTCCAGTTTATCAGATGACTGCACTGACTTTGGTCTGATCATCGATGGAGCCACCCTCTCTGCGGTGATGAGGCCGGCCCAGGAGGACTCCAACTCAGGGAACTACAAAGAGATCTTCTTAGAAATCAGCCGCAACTGCAGCGCCGTGCTCTGCTGTCGGATGGCACCTCTGCAGAAAGCACAGGTACAAAACTCTGAGGACTTGATATGGATCTATATTGAAATATAAGTCCACATCTGTGAAGCTGCTGTAAGGAGTTAAAGGTATCATTGTTTCTTGTTTTTCTAGATTGTGAAGCTGATCAAAGCCTCTGAAGAGCATCCAATCACGCTGGCCATTGGAGACGGAGCTAACGATGTCAGCATGATCCTCGAGGCCCATGTTGGCATCGGTTAGTCACAGTTTTTCCGTCCTGCACTATTTAAACCAACAAAATCACCTCTTCAATCAATCAATCAATGTTTATTTATATAGCCCAATATCACAAATGTTACGTTTGTCTCAGTGGACTTCACAGTGTGTACAAAATATCAGTATGACAATACGACACCCTCTGTCCTTAGACCCTCTGTCCTTAGACCCTCACATCGAACAAGGAAAAACTTCCGGAGAAAACCCCCAGTTTAAAGGGGAACATGGGAGAAACCTCAGGGAGAGCAACAGAGGAGGGATCCCTCTCCCAGGACGGACAGACGTGCAATAGATGCCGTGTGTAAATCGAAGAGATAATACATTTGCAACATAGGTAGTCCAAATGTTTGGAAATGCATGTGTGTATAATAGGAAGATGAATCCACGACTATATCCGTCCAGGACTTGTGATCCAGGACCACAGCCACGACTCAAGATCCAGGACTCGCGATCCATGACACAGGACCGCAGGATCATCCATGACTCCGGATCCCGGCGTATATAGACACCAAAAAGAAAGACATTTGGGGAAGCTGGGTTAATGGGAACATGAGAGTACACAGGTATAGACAGAGAGAAGGAAGAAGTAAGATGTCCCCCGACAAACTAAGCCTATAGCAGCTAAACTAAGGGCTGAATCTAATCAGCCCTAACTATAAGCTTTATCAAAAAGGAAGGTTTTAAGCGCACTCTTAAAAACGGATAGGGTGTCTGCCGCCCGAACACAAACTCTTATTAACACATTATATCTGCCTCTGCAGGGATCATGGGTAAGGAGGGTCGCCAGGCGGTGAGGAACAGCGACTACGCCATCCCAAAGTTCAAACACCTCAAGAAGATTCTCTCGTCCACGGACATTATTACTACATCCGCATATCAGAGCTGGTGCAATACTTCTTCTACAAGGTAGTCTGACAGGAAGAATATGAGACCAACACAAATGACATATGTTATCACACTAACCTTTACTTTCTGCCTTCTTCCCAGAATGTCTGTTTCATTTTCCCTCAGTTCCTCTATCAGTTCTTCTGTGGCTTCTCACAACAGGTAGGCACACAAAAAACAAACAAACGTAATAAATAAAATCAAAGCATATCTCCAAAGCTTGCATGTTCTCTGCCTGTCTCCCCAGCCGCTGTTTGACACAGCCTACTTGACTCTGTACAACATCAGCTTCACCTCGCTGCCCATCCTGCTCTACAGCCTCATCGAGCAGCACATCAACGTGGACATCCTGAAGAAGGACCCCTCGCTATACAGGTACAACTCCCCCATCCCTCCATATCCTGAGAACTGCAAGCACACAAGTCAGACAGATTTGTTTTAGAAGTCATTTCAAGCTTGGTGGTTGGATGAATAAATCAAATGTACATTGAAGGGTCTTNAACACAGCAGTGGCAGCAGCAGCATAGCGAGGCAGAGGCAGGAAGACCTGGCAGCTTAAATAGAGCGGCATGTTTAGGAGAATGTGTTTGGTTGGTTGTAAGAGGGACGAGGTGCGTCACGTGTTAATGTATCATTGGTGCTCGAGTTGAGTTGCTCGCAGGCTTCGCCCCATTTATTATTAATTACACCTTGGCTCTCTGTGCTACAACTTTAATCTCAAAATGCCTGTTGTTTCACCTAATTGTGCCTTTTTAGAGTTGTAGAATATCAGACTCCCCAACCTTACATTTAATTAAAGCACCCAAAAATAAACCAGCTCTGTGACACAGTATCAAATATATTTGTAATTAAACACCATTTTTTTCAAGGGCAAATTAAAAGCTGAAATGAATTAATTTCCCGGGTAAAGCTCGGTCGTGAAGGAGTTCAATAATCATCATTGTCTTGAGGATGCTCCAATTAACAAGCATAGTAATTGAAAATTAAGAAATGCTTAATTCCATAGGCATGTAGAGGTCAGATTGTCAGTGACTTCACTTTTACTGGGTTTCTGTCTTTATTTATGTCCCATTAATATTAAATAATTAATTAATAATGGTTCAGTACAAGTCTTATTGTTTTGATTAAAACAAAGTCTGTTAATGTCGGATTAATGTTCTAAATGTGGTTGAATATACACCAGTTCTATTTTGTAACTCTTCATAGGCTTTCAATAATATTGCATGATTCCTAAAAAGACAGGTTTACAGTCGATGGTGAGCTTCTTGGGAACAGATTATTAATCTGTTTCTATCCCTGTCAGACCCTCCAGAGGGTGGTGGGAATGGCTCGGGTGGTGCTTCACCAATCAACAAGGACCTGGACATCTTTGGACCAATGGTGTCCAACCCTCTCCCCTCCAACAACACGCAGAAGGTACACACACACACACACACACACACACACACACACACACACACACACACACACACACACACACACACACACACACACTCACAGAAGCAGCCAGGCCGGATCCTGGTTTCTTTAGAGCAGTGTTTCTCAAACTTTTTCATACCAGGGACCACTTAACCAATAAAAGAACACTCGCGGACAACCTAACAAATATCCAAAATCACATCGTTTTTCTAGAACAGATTACAAATCGCCTGAAAATTGTACAAACAAGTGGCAACATGTGTGATGAAGGTGTTGCGCTATATCATGCAATCGAAAGTTAAACTTAAGCTCGCTCCATTGCGGAGATATTCCCGCAAGAGTGCGGAAAACTTAAATTTATTTATTTATTTCAAATGAAGTGAAATGCTACCAATATACTCATGGACCACTAGGGGACGCTCACGGGCCACCAGTGGTCCGCGGACCACACTTTGAGAAGCCCTGCTTTAGAGTGAGCTTCGGTCTGACAGCTCGATGTCTCCCTCTCCTCTCCTGCAGTTGGCTCTGGATACTCATTACTGGACGTGGATCAACCATTTTGTCATCTGGGGCTCGCTGGTCTTCTTTGTGGTCTTCTCTCTGCTGTGGGGAGGAATCATCTGGTAGGCTTTGAACTTATATATTTGTATTAATATCATTTAAACTTTTAAGAAATGTTATGTATGTTTACAGAATAAGATGATAGAGGAAGAGAGATTTAGAATAGGAGATGTCATCACTATACTTGTACATATTCCCCTAAATAAATACATCTACATAAAATGCATGAAAGATGTTTGTAAAGGGAATAAGGCAACATATAAGAGTTTTGGAGTTCATGTCCTATGTTGCTAAATGCATGATTTGTTTGTAAAAGCCTGAAACCTCAAAAGATAATTAAATAACTATTTGTTTTATTTGTGGTGCCTCCTTTCCTCTCCTCTCTTTTATTCTCTCATCTCCTCTCCTTTCTTGTTTCCTCTCCTCTAATCTCTTCTCCTTTCCTCTTGTTTCCATTATTTTCATCTCCTCTCCTCTCTTGTTTCCTCTCCTCTCCTGCAGGCCCTTCATGAACTACCAGAGGATGTACTATGTGTTCATGCAGATGTTGTCCAGCGGTCCGGCCTGGCTCAGTATAATCCTCCTGATAACGGCCAGCCTGCTGCCAGATGTGCTGAAGAAGGTGATCTGCCGGGCGCTGTGGCCGACCACCACCGAATGCATACAGGTGGGTGCATACACACTGATGAGTGTGCATTTACTGCTGTGTACAAAGAAGGACCCCCTCCTTCTTTGAGTCTAACACCAGCTTTATAGATTAATGTGTAACAGGCCTCCTCTGAGAAGTGTGTGTAATAATGTCTAACTGATGACTCAGCAGATGTATGCTGGCTTCGGCTACGTCCCTACTCTGTTTGATGTAAGTGTGTGTGTGTGTGTGTGTGTGTGTGTGTGTGTGTGTGTGTGTGTGTGTGTGTGTGTGTGTGTGTGTGTGTGTGTGTGTGTGTGTGTGTGTGTGTGTGTGCGTGCAGTGCTCCTTTATTTCTAAACCTGAACAGTTCAAAGGAGACTCAAAACACTTTATTTTGCAGGATGTGTACAAATAACGTGTTGCCTGTTTGAGGTTTAAACAACCTTCTCTAATCCTACATGTCTTCTCCCTTAACAAACGTTAGAACTGTTAATTCTCTGTAGATAATTGATCATGTGACTGATTTCCAGAGCTTTACCTCTTCTTCCCCTCTCCCTCTTACCTCCTTGTTCCTCCTCCTCTTCACCCCGTAGCAGACTAAGCGTCGCTGCCTTGCCTCTGAGCCCTCCACCATCTTTATGCTGTCTCAGACTTCCAGCAGAATCAGTTTCTAACCCTAGGTGACCCTCAGCCTTTCCTCCTGTCGCTAACTTGTGTCAAATCCTCTTTTTCTTTTATCCTGTCCCTTTTCTCCCTGCCACTGTTTCTGCATGAAGTCACTTGTCTGTCAGTCTGATTGCATGCCTGGATAAACTGTATGTATAGTCTATTTGCAAGCACATAGAGCCCTATTGTGTGTGCACCAACGTTTTCTGTTAGAAATGTGTACTGGGGACCCCTACTATACATTCCTAAATGAAACTTTGGGATGCTCAACATGTCCAGGGTTCACAAGGCTGGCAACTAAACCATTATGTCATGTTTTCCGTCGTACAGTGTTTCACATGACTGTTTTAATGTGTACATGTCAGATCCTTAATGTCTTTGAATGGTTGTGTGCGTGTCCACAGCGTTTGAGGGGTATTAAAGAGTCAGAGAGGACCCTGACCTACCGCAGCTCAGAGTCCTTACTAGATGGAATAGCGCTCACAGAAGCCTAGAGCGCTGCAGCACGGTAACACAGAGTGTGTAATGGTAGGAGTTGGTAATGGTGGGTGAAGCTAACATCCTGCAGTGATGGGGTTCACTCTGCTGTGGTGTGTGGTGCGTTTTACCTGACTAACACAGGGGTATATTGTGAGTGTGTGTGTGTGTGTGTGGTTCTCAGGTATTGTATAAAACCTTTGCATCCTGTTGGGTCTTCACATGGAGCTCTGGCGCTCTCTAGTGACACTTTTTATCCTTGCACATTCATGCATGTTTATTATAAGTTATGTTTCCATTTGCATGTTTTTTTTATGGTGTTTATATATATACACATTTACATATTCTTGTACTTCATTTGCCGGGGTTGCATGGCGTGTGTAAGCAGCATGCACAGGATGTTATTGTCACAGCTGGCCGATTAGATTAAAGCCAATGCAATACTTTATTTATTGAATTATGTAAATAATTGAATTGTATTCTGACTCAGTTTCCAGGATCAGGTTACTGATAGATGAAAGGGTGTTGTGTGTGTTTTTGTTGTTGCTGTAGATAAAAAGTCCGGCAGCCATTTTCTCCTTCTTAGATCAAGCTTTTTATCTTTCCTCCAAAATATCTGCTAGAGTTAGAATAAATGTGGTTTTGGCTTTTTGAGATTTTGAGACACCCATAAAAATAATAGCAAGCGGTGTTGCAAATATGACAACAGAATGCTACTGTTCTTCATCAGTATTTAATATAAGAGCGTGACAAAGTTGGATACTATATCACCTAAGATATAAAGATAATAATTAATTTAAACTATATTTACATTTATTTGAATCAATGACAAACTAGAAGTGCTCAAATGCATCTTCAGTTAAACATTTGGCCAGCTGGGATAACAATGTCTCCTCCTTTTAGCACATGTATTCGTCTCTGTTTTTAACTTCTCTCTGCTTCCTCTTCCTCCCTCTTTACTCTCCCACAGAGCGCTGACAAACTCTACGAGGGCCACCTGTCAGAGTTCACCCCCCTGGCGTCTCTCCACGCTCCGTCCAAGGCAGGCGGCCACCGGCGAGGCTCGGGCAACCAGGGGAACCCTCGAAGGTCTGAACCCTTTAGAAAGAAAACCATGTTCACACGCTGGCAGAAACAGCCAGACTACAGCACCTTCACCCCTCTACTCCGATTCGCCGATGGCCACTCGAAGCACTCCTACAGCGGGGGGGCGGGGCCAGAGACCTCAGTCTAATTTATTTGCGTCTCACTATTCTTATTCTCTCATATCAGATACAATTGCATCTATTTGTGGAACTGAACAAAGGAGTAGTTTAATAAATCGGTCCACTGGAGTTACCCAAAAGTAACTTATTTATGTGACTGGAGTCAAATACCTGGCTGTGATGCTAACCGCAGGTATCTGTAGTCCATCTGTAAGGGATTACAATGAAAGTGACCTTCACAAATGCTCAGCCAAGTATGCAGCAAAGCATTATGGGACGGCCCCTAAAGGACTCGCTTGCCGCCACATTTTGCAAAGGGCTCAGTCAGCGTATCGATGTCACAACACACACATTCTTACGTCACTGGAAATATGTGCACTGGCCCTTTAAGTCTGCCTGCCTTTGCTAGCTGGGAGCTGAAGTGTACTTCGCTTAAAGGATTTATATGACTTTTTAAAAATAATTGAGATTGTGCTGCTGCTGAAGCCGGCTTGAGCTTTCTCTGACCAAACCTTTTCTTTTTCTTCACTCCCACCATCTCTGCCTCTTTTCAGGACTAACTGGTGTTGCCTGTGTGCAAACATGTTATCCCGAAACACTCCCTAGGCCTCTCTACAACATTGTAAGAAAGAGTGTAGTGGAGCGGTAAAGCCCAAGTGTTGGATATATGGATCTGAGTGTGTCTTATTTGTCTAATTCATCCTTATTTTTGGAAATAAGACCTACTTTAGCTGCACATCCAACACATGAGCTTTCACCTGTAGGTAGACTAGATGCATTTGTGGATCAGGTGTGTGTGTGTACTGATAGCTAGCAGTGTTTTAGTGTGTGTTGCATTAATCTTGCAGAATCCCCTATTGTCTTTAAAGCACTTTACCTGTAGACCTTCTTCATGTACGTATTACGCTATATACAGAGACTGATCTAAGTTGTTCTAATGGCTTAGGAAATAGTAGAAATGGCTATACTGTATGTTAGCTTCCCCCGCTGCTTTAAATGCCTTAATGTCACTTTGTAAATACCACATGACCTTTTACCAAAGACGATATCCTTTAGAAGCACATTTGGGGTCCATGTCAGTGGTCATGATTTGAGAGCTATTTAACTTGTGTTAAAGCACCTTTTAAAAAGGATCAAATGTTCGTGTCCTTGTTGAGATAATCACAACACGAAAAAAGGATTCTATCAAGTGCCCTAAAATACTTGATGCCTTAAATTGAAATGCAGTTTTTCTGAGATTCGCTGATTTGCCAGCCAGCCATTTGTTGATAGGAGACGGTAAGCTAAGCTCAGCATAAAGCCTGGAAACAACTCTGTTTAAAGTGAGACATCAGACCTATTCGTAAGTATTTTCAGCTTACAGCATCAAATAGCTCAGTGTTGATGCTCCTAAAGGCCTTATGATAAAGTCTAATATCTATCTTAAAAAAGGCCTTTTCAGATCTGTCTCACACTTTCCTGCTTCAACATGTATCCCCTCTCTTAGCTGTCTCTCTTCCAGTCTTTCTCATTCTCCCTGAGGTGAAGTGACGCTGAAGTGGAAGTTTTCCTACCTCTGCGAGCGCCGCCTCCACCCGTCTGATCATCATCATCATCCTCTCCACCATCCGTCCATGCATCTATCAATGTGAGACAGTGTAGAAATCATGCTTTCTTTATTGGACTAATACGAACCAAAGCCTTGTCGCTGCTCGAGATACCTTTAGCTGCTTTACTGTAGGTGCCTTGTGGTAGTTTCTCTGTCTCTGCTGAACTGTCTTAGCTGGCATTAAGGTTCATTTAGGATTCATAACAAGCGATCAGGCGTACACAATCACCGCTGATGATAGGTGTGTGGATGCATGACTGCGAGAATGGATAAGTGAGGGAAAAAGGTGAATGTAAACACAGATTTACACAGGTTACACTGTCCAATAAGACTTATTCAGAACAAACGCAGCACTGAAGTAACACAAGAGATACATGGTGAATGTTCAGTACTTCTTGCACCAAAATATCAGTTTTTTATGGTTTTTATTCCAAATGTTTTATACATATCCAGGAGGGCACCTGTCTCTGAGAGGTTCTTTTTGTTGTTTTCTATTATGTGTAATGTTTAAAATTCCCCTGTACCTCGTTAAAAGTGGTGGTCACACACTGGAAAGATATTAATGTTACAAACTGGGATTTGGTCGACATGTTTCATTTCAATTTAGCCTCTCTACAAAAATAGATATTTATGTAAAACGGTAAATCAAATGGTTTATTTCACTGTCGGATTATTTGATAAATGTGACCTAATTTGCATATCTAATTTGTCCCTTTAACCAAATACAAAAGCACACACGTAATATATTCAGGTACTTCCTGTATCTCCAATAGTTGTTAAAAACTGTTGAATCCAAATGAATGAATTACCAAACTATACCCACATTTACTTAAATGCATTTTGTATATATGTTAGAGATTATGTTTTTTTACATCCTGAGTACAGTATTTGATGTGTGTCCTATTTATTTAGAGGAGTATTGGAACAACCAAACAACACTGGAGATGTATGTATGCTTTAAAAAAGAGATTTCTGTGGCTCAGATACACCCGCACTGAATCTATCTGATGACTGACACTTTGCTGTAGAAAAAAAGCCATTGATTATGGATTTCATGTACAAATCGCTCTTGTCCTAAATCTTTCAACTAGACCTGAACTGACAGCCTTCGAACAGAATGTTATTTCCTCTTTTACGATGTATTATATTTCTCATAACCATCAATATCTATAAAGCACTGTATGCTCAGATATAATATACATGTAGTTGTGTTAATTGATGTACAGTTTTGGGGTCTTTTTATATACAGTTTTTAACAGAGTCATATCAAGATTTACTTGTGGATTTTTTGCCAACCTTTCTGTAGCTTTCAATGGCAATCAACTGTACATTTGCTTGGAAATAAAAGCCAGAAGTGGAAGAATAAAAATCTGAAATAATGTGATTTCTTTCCTTCTGCACTTCATGCATCAGCCACAGGGATGCAGTAGAGTATTTCAAATGTGTTGCACCTTTCTGAGGCCTTTTTAAATAAATACAAAAAGCAGTTTTGGGATTGAATGTGTTCTCTAAAGTGGCTCCAGGGCTGCTGTCTGCACCATCTGAGGACGTCAACAAGATTATAATGGAGGTTTCTGGATCGATTGGATTTTCTTCATCCTTTTCACTTCTCGTCTGCGCTGATCTCCTCGTCTTCTCCTCCTCGCTGGCAGCCGTGAGACCTGAAAGTGTGTCTGACAAGGATGGAGAAATATCTAGGGCAACACTGTCAGAGGTGAAATCTGGGAAAGCAGAAGAAATATGTTTAAAAGTGACCTATTTTACCTCCCAAACCTGTTTTCTGTAGCTTAATTGCAATGACTCATTGAACCATTTTTCAAAGCAAGAGCAGAACGACCTGAGTCTTAATGTTTTACCTGCTGTTTCATCAAATGCCACTAAAAACGTAGACTATAAATATGCAATGTATTTACCTTTAATTTAACCGTATTAACTTAGCATAGAATCTAGAGAGGTGGGAGGTGAAACTCAAGGTGTAACCAAGTACTTAACCACCTCTTTTTGTTAAGATATTTGTGAGGGCTGTAACCAAATATGTTGGATGAATTCAAACTCCCAATCATATGAACATACTCAACACATGGAAGACTTTATAAAACCCTATAGGGACAGAAATGGGACTGGCAAACAAATCAAAGACACCAAATACATATCAGTTTATTTTCCATCATGTTCAGACGTATCTAACCCTGCAATAAGCAACAGGTGACTCCTAGAAATACAAGATTCAAAAGTAATCCTTTGAAGGCCCAAAATGCTCTTCCGTTGCGAGATGAGGGTGCAAAAATCAGTTTCATGGTGACACCTGTAACGTGTGTGTGTGTGTGTGTGTGTGTGTGTGTGTGTGTGTGTGTGTGTGTGTGTGTGTGTGTGTGTGGCTAGGTCTGACACTCAGACTATAGACTTAAATCATTAGACCTGAGACCCACACACACACACACACACACACACACACACACACACACACACACACACACACACACACACACACACACACACACACACACACACACACTGTACTTGTCTGTAATGTCAGCGTGTGTCTCTTCTCACAGCATTAAACGGAGGGAGGTGATGGAGGCGTCCACACGTGAAATCTACGAATTAGCTGTGAAATTGCTGTTATTTGCCACCAATTGTTTATGACTCAGTTCACATTGTTGTTCTTGTTTTTGTGAGCTTCTCTTTTGTCCGTACAAAGGACTGTCTCATTATCATGGTCCAGCTTTTAAAGGGTGATGGATCTAGGATATATGCACAGGTAGTTCTGACTGTATTTGATAGTGTTTAGTGACACAATCTTGTAAAAATGTAAGATATATTTGAATATGCTATGTTTTAGAGCCAATATATTGGCCTTGTCTTCTTCTCTCCACCTCTATCTTCTCTAAATGAGGGAAATTGTGCAGAAACTTTACTCCATCTGCCCTCCAGCACTCTTCATTGTCACTGTCATCATTGTATTGACACACAATAGAATCAAATTCAACACAATACAAGACAATCTGAGCCTTAAAGACTTCTAGTTAGCTGAAAGCTATAGGCTGTAGGCGTCACCTGGAGTATGAACATTACACTGTGTGCGCACACATTCTCTGCTCAAGGCCACAGCTCAATTCTCTATCTAATGTGATGGATCAGATGATTTCAGGCTTTACAACTGTAAATACTAGACATATAATCTTATGTAACAAATATAAAGACATACAACAGTATATGCTGTACCATTTAGTTCCCAGAACTGTGTATTTAATTTATGATAATGAAACTAATAATAATAATGCAAACCTTTTTTTGTTGTGTAAAAACACTTCTACAATGTGTATCCTAGGTTTATTCTTTTACTAGTAGGTTGCTCTAATATAGGGTATTATAACTTATTCTGTATATTTAAAATGCTGTATTCTATCATATGAATTAATATGCATTTGATATATATAGGCCTATTTACAGTTAATGTTTATTTTATGTTATTGTTAATGTATTTGCAATATCTTCTTAACATGCTGAGTGAAAATGGGTGAAACAGCGCCCCCTGGTCTTTATATAGTATATGTGGTCAGATAGAGTATTGCAGCCTTAACGACGCGCACCTGAGGAAAGTGTGCCAGGTGTTTCTCATCAGCCCTTGATTAGTTTTAGTAAAAAACATCTCAATCAGAGGCGCCTCTGTAAGACCAACACCACACTGCCATCAGCACCGTCGCTGGAAAACAAAGTAAGTAGTAAATTACCAAGCCTTTCACACTCTTTCTATGCTATAAATAACATAACAACGGTATTTAAATGAAACAGCTGTTAGCTTTCAGGTACAGTTAAGTCAGCTGGTGTTCCATTGTCGCTAGGTAACGCTGGAAGCTAACGTTCTAATGCATGCTACCAGCTAACGTGCTAATGACGGTTAAAGATGAAAAATACTTCTGTAAACAAAACAAATATGAATGTTGTATCCGAACAATATATTTGTATTTTAATGCTTTAAATCCTGCACAACCACCACAGAGACCACAACAGAACGCCAACAGGAGGTCTTTCCTACTATGTGCAATATAAATAGCATTATCATCATAACAAACACTTTCTACTTTCTATCATGTGCAATATTAATAACAATGTGCAATATTAACTTGCACAAATTACGTATTTGCCACTTTACATTATTAACACGCTGCTCGTCACTGCACACATTACACTCATTATTTGACCGTCTATGTTTCCTGTAGTTGTTTAATTTGTTAAATGCACTGTTAGTATACAGTCTAATTATTATAATTCTTACTTTTATTATTTTACTGCTGTGTTTATTGTATCTTATAATTTCCATAATATTAAAGTCCTATCTTATCTTTTATCTGCTCCACACTTTTAAACCTTCACAGCTATTTAACTCAGTTTCTGACATATTTGTGTAAATATGTCTATTTATTTTTACAATGGTCTTTATAAGAGTTTTTAAGATATCTTTTTGTTGCTCCTTCTTTTTTATACAAACACACCGTATTCTTCTTCTGTGTCTTTGTACGTGCCATTTACACCAAAGAAACATTCTCAGATTCCTTGGTAATAAAACCCATTCTGCTTCTGATTCTGAAACAACAGGACTATCAAAGAGGAGGAAGACATCAGTCAAGAACAAAATGACGTCAAAGCAGCTGGACATCCCCATGAATAAAGGAGAACTGACTTCTAATGTGAGTCAAATACACTTTCTTTGTCTTTTTATACTTTACTTAAAGGTGGGGTAGGTAAGTTTGAGAAACCGGCTCGAGATACACTTTTTGTTATATTCCATGGAATGCTCTTAACATCCCGATAGCAATGAATATCTGAAGTGCTTTGACAAAAAATCCATAAAAAAATATCATCTGTGGAAGCCGTGGCGCTGTAAAAAGCACGACCAATCATCTGAGCCGGCCCGGCTAAAATAACTGGATGGCCTACCTGCCTGTCAGCCTTCCATCTCCATTCTAACGCACTCGAGCTGGTTTCTCCAAATGTACCTACCCAACCTTTAATGTTTGTAACACCTTGTTGTCTTTCTCTTGTACTTTACTTGTATGCTCACAACTGTAGAATGTGTATTGTTGTACTTAGATAAACGTGCACAAGTCATGTGTTTGATACGTGCATGGATACTTCTCAGTATTCATGTATGTACCTGTATCAAAGTATACGCTTTGTAGTACTGTATATAACGTTTTGAAAGTCATGTATCTGTGATATTTGCATTATAATGTAGCTGGCCCCGGTGTGGCCCCGGTGTGGCCCCGGTGTGGTCCCAGAGCTTTAAAGGGGCCTCAGCCGTCCCTAAACAGAGGTTTGTTGTTGGTGTCTCAGGCTAAATTTGGGACAGACTGCATCCCACTGCTGACAGTCTCCTCTTACAAGTGCAGAAACAAAGTAATCTGATTAATGTGTATCCTCTTCTCTCTGCTGAGTGGAGGCCAAGTGCCTGTGGCAGAGAGCTGACGTTTTCCTGCTATTCTTCCAAACAGCGCTGTTAGAGATAAACTCAATCACTGCTTATGTTTTCATAAGCAGTGATTTAGACACTGAATTATATTTTGTTTTTAAACTACCATAGAAACTGTCTCCTCTGACTCTTCCTTTTTCTGATGAAACCTCTACTCATTAATATCTGCAAATACTAACATTTGCCAAAAATTAGAGCAGAAATTAACACAGATTACAACGTGTGTACTAGTATGCAGTTATACAAGGGAAATTATAGTTTAAATCAACTGCTTTAAAGTTGATGCATCAGTATCACTAATGTTATTCGTGCAGGTCGGTAAAGAAGCAAATACTT